ATTGATAAGCAGGAGCGGAAGCGCCAGCGGGTCGGTGCCTAATTTACCCACTCATAGTGACAAGGATTTTCATTCCAATGTGTCTCTGAGAAAAAGAAAGGAACGCATTGTTGAAATAGACTATAAAAAAGATTTTGCAAGCTTTCGTACAGACATGATGAAGTTCTTAGAAGAATTCGGAAAAACACAAAATGAGAATCTGAAATACATACGTGAAGAAATATCGGAGATTAAAAATGAAATAAAAACAATAAAATCAACAACAAAAAACTTTACACAACGATTTGAACAAATAAACTCTGAAATAGAAAATATTAAATACAATCATACTGCTACTCAAAACCAAATAAAAAACATAGAAAGTGAAATAACCCTGATAAAAGATAAACAACACATTGAAAGTTCAATGGATAAATCGCCCGTCTTGTGCCACGAAAACCTCATCCTTGAACTCAAAGACCGATACGACCGTGAGAAAAACATCATTATTGTGGGTATACCCGAAATAAATGAAAAAAATTCAAAAGTGAGACGAAATTACGATAATGAAGAAGTTATGAAGTTGTTGATATCATTACATGAAAACTGCCCAAAACCAATTAAATGTATAAGACTAGGGAAATATGTTTCAAACAAAAAGCCGGCCTATAAAAGTTTTCTTTAACAATATAGATACTCCGAAATATCTCTTACGGAATAAAAAGTACCTAGCCGAAAATCTTAGTATTTACTCAGATCAAACGCCAGTTCAAAAACAGTATTTAAGGCAATTGAAGGAAGAATTAAAGAAACGAACAGAAAAAGGCGAAAACGACCTTGTTATTAAATATATAAAAGGCACACCTTCAATTGTTATAAACAAAACCCATCAAAAAAACCAATAATGGCTTCAACACAAACCGGAAAAAATACGGATAGATTAAGCTATCAATTAGTAAACAATTACGAAAAAATTCCATTGCACCCGTCCTCCTTAAGATTTTTTATGCTAATTTACGTAGTATTCGCAAAGCTGGGAAACTCGACGAAATAAAATGCATATTAAAAGCAATACCGATGACTACACATTTATTAATTTTTACTGATACATGGATTACTTCGGAAACCGACGCAAAATTATATCAGATACCAAACTATAAACAATTATAGACAAAATTACAAAGGTGGTGGCGTTTCAATTTACGTACATAATAGCATAAAATACGATATAACGGAAGAATTGTGTGAAAATGGAAACCACTACTTATGGATATACATAGATAAACTATCTTTAAACATCGCTGCAATATACAAACCTGGAAGTTCTAATGTAAACAACTTTTTAGAAACATATTCCTCACAGTTGGAACGGAGGAGAAGGGCGATTGTGTTTGGAGATTTTAACATTGATCTACTTCATACAGATAGTAACGTCACAAAATACCTAGCTGAAATAAAAGAAATTGGATATGAAATATTGAATAAAATTAATAGGCTGTACAGTACTCGTGAAACCACCACCACAAGCACTATACTGGACCATGTATGTACGAATATAAACAATCACTCATTTAGTTTCTCAATAATTGAAGCGTGCCTATCTGATCATAAGCAGATATTTCTTGAAATAAGCAACTTAACAACAAAGACACATAAAAAGAGTTCAATATATGGCGCTTGATTACGAAAAGTTATACAACACTACTTTAAAAGCCAAATACACTAATGAAGAAAATGACTATTACTACCTAGAGAGATTTATGTTACAACAAATAAACAAAAATAAATTAAGCAAGACAAAAATTCTTAACCCTCCACAAAAAGACTGGATAAACCGAGATATTATAAACTCAATAAATTTACGAAACAACTTATGGCAGCAGACTAAATCTCACCCAAAGGACGATAATCTACAAAAAAACTTAATTAAAGAGCAGAACAAAGTGAAAAACCTTATCAAGACACACAAGAAAATCTACTATCATAAGTTATTTCATAACAATTACAATAAACCTAAGAAAATGTGGGAGATAATTAATAACTTAGCGTTAAACAAAATTAGAGACAGCAGTGCTCCTCCCAAACTAATATCGAATACTGAACTAATAACAGAAGGTAATTCAATATGTGACTTATTTAACTCATTTTTCTCCTCAATAGGTTCGGACTTGGCTAACAAAATTCCTAATAAGTATCACATAAACAGCGATAACACGCTTATGTACGAACTTAACTACACGCATGAAATAACACTTAGTGAACTTACACCCTGTATATCACAGAAGTATCAAAAATAATCGACGATCTTGATACCAACACTAGTACTGGTCTAGATGGCATCAGCACAAAAGCGATTAAATGTCTGAAAATGATAATTGTAGAGAGGCTAACGAACTGCATAAATATGTGTTTGACACGCGGTGTTTTTCCCGACACACTTAAAATTGCTAAGGTCAGTCCTATTTTTAAATCCGGAAGTAGGACTGACCCAAGTAACTACAGACCAATCTCTGTCTTGCCTGTTATATCAAAGATATTTGAACGAATACTTTATAACCGCCTAATGAATACCTAATAAAAAAGAAGTTTTAATTGACCAACAATATGGCTTTCGTTCCAAATCGAGCACTCTGACAGCTGCAGTAGACTTAATCACAAAAATTAAAACTCAAATCGATCAAAAGAATATCGCTTTAGGGATTTTTATTGACATAAAAAAAAATTTGACACAGTAAGCCATCATAAATTGTTGCAGAAACTAAACAACATAGGCGTTACAGGTAAGGCCCTCGAAATGTTTACATCGGTTTTACATAATAGGCGACAAGTTGTTCAAATGGATAATTTTACCAGCTCGATTAAAAACGTATCCTACGGCTGTCCTCAAGGCTCAATTATAAGTCCATTATTGTTTTTAATCTATATAAATAATATAAACAAATTAGGGCTAACAGGTCACCTAACATTATATGCCGACGACACATGTCTCTTCTATTTCGATAAATCTATTCACAACATTATAACCTATGCTCAAAAAGATCTTGACTTACTCGGAGAATGGTTAAAATATAACTTGCTAACAATTAATATGTCAAAAACATCTTTCATGATTTTTTCTACAAAGAATAAACCTTTACCAGAGTTTGCACATCTTAATATTGAAGATAAAATAATAAAACGTTCAACTCAGGAAAAATATCTAGGTCTATTGGTAGATGATAAACTCACTTGGAGAATGCATATCGATCACGTCAAATCAAAACTGACGTCATTACTATGTGCACTACGTAAAGTCGCAAACTGTATCCCGGAAAAGGTTCGTACAATCATATATAACTCTTTAGTTAAATCACATATCGAATATCTAATTGAGATATGGGGATCAGCTGCTAAAACAAATCTAAATCCACTTCAAAGGACACAAAATAAAATTATCAAAACATTATTCCACTATCATTATCTAACGCCAACAAAAGTACTATACGAAAAAACTAACTTGCTAAACCTTACACAACTATACCTTTATTGCACTTGCATTCTAATAAAAAACATTACCACTAATTCTATTCAATCAAACATACAATTACATAAAAAAACAACAACACACAACTTAAGAAGTAAAAATAAACTACAATTAATAACTACACGAACTAATTATGGCAAAAAAACTTTGTTGTTTGAGGGAGCACAGCTGTTCAATAAACTACCAGATGACATAAAAAATTGCAATAACATAAAATTGTTTAAAAGTAAACTTAGGAAATACGTACGTACAGTGTAATCTTTTCTGACATAGTAAATAAGCTCAAAACTATAACACCTCCAGCACTAGAGGTAGATGCGATAGTTTTACTTTAGTATATAATTACTTTGTATCTCATTTTAAGTGAACCATTGTATGTTCTTATGAGAAATAAATTTCTTTAAACCGAAATTATGACTTTGTAAAATATATTCAAAATCTAGCGCTCGCCGGTTTCTTTTCAGTATATTTATATTAAAGTCGCCGCATAAAACAATTTTCTTGTTAGTATTATCACATATTTGGCATAATAACATGTCTAAATTATTGAAAAATACGTTTATACAAGAATTAGGCACCCTGTATATACAAACTATTATCAGTCCATGAAGACTTAGTTCTATAGCGCTACATTCTATTACGCCTTTAACTGTACAATTAGTTTTTAATACTTTATATTGATGACCAATTCTAGTTAATATACAGACACCTCCTCTCTTTATGTCTCTTGAGAAACTTGTTGCTAGGCGGAAATTGGGTATATCAAGTATGCTCTCTCGGTCTGGTGTCATAAAATGTTCGGTTAAACATATTACGTCTACAACTTTGTTATTTTGTGCCAATTCTTCTAAATGTACCGTCAGAGTGTCAGATTTATTTATAAGACCTGCTATCTTTTGGTGTAAAATTCGAATATTATTATAAAAGAAAAAACTGTGAGCTTTGTCCGCTTGTGTCACTGGGTAGGTCAGGGAATAATTCTAAGTCAATTTTAATTCTTTTCATTATATTTTTAAATATGCATTGAATTCTTGCTGTATTTATTTTGCCTTATTTGTATGAAAACATGTCAAGTGTAAGGTCATAGTTGGAGTCAAAATAGTATGCATATTTATGGTATTGTAGGTCCATACAGAGCAGACTATTAAACATTTCAACCTTAAAGTTATGTATTGGTGCTCCCCGTATATACGTGGGTGTGCATATTATTATATTTGTATGGATCACCTGTGTTAAACTATCGTTAATTTCTTTTACTAAATTAATATAATTGTCGTTACGTTTAAAGTCTGTCTCCCCTAATAAAATTATACAATAATCGTTCATATTAAAATATCTTAATTTTGATTTTATACCAGCTAAAAGTTGTTTTATATTACAATTTGGTGAAGAGTAATTACAGTATATAAAGTCACTTGCAAAATTGTCTTCAATAGCCTGTAGTATGCCTTTTCGAGTGCTGTTGCTTAGTACGCACAATTTTCTATGTTTGATATCTTTACGAACATCCGTTGTAGTAATTTTCTTCAAAGGTGCGATGTCCTTCTCTGGTGTTGAGATTTTTTTTCAGTGGAGATAATTTTGTGTCATTTAGTGGCATATTCAGTTTAGATATTTGCGGCTGTGTCTTCGGATTCTGTGTCGAACAATCTTCGTTTACTGGCTCTGGAATCCTTTCGGCCTCAGGTGTATTTTCGGCTGATTTAACTGTCGCTTCATTATTCATAATTCGTGCTGAAGGAGCCATTACCTGTATGCTTTTTGTTACAGGTGTTACAGCGATATTTCGGGTTTGTTTGCATTTTCGTCCAGATTGCGGTGTAAGTTTTTTATTCTCTGTAAGGTTTAAGCTTTTAGGGTTCTCATCTTCTCATCTTCAAATATTTCTGTAAATCTGATTTCAGACGAAAATTCTCGCTATTCAGATTTTCAATCTCATGGTGTGCTATTTGTAAATCGTCAGACAATTTTGTAATTTTTTCGTTCAATTCGAGTATGGTTTGACTAGGATTTAGCGTAGTGTTAGGCAAACTTGAAATAGTTGTATCAAAAAGTGCCGAATTATCTGAGTCTACATCGGTTAATGAATTTCTTCGGTATTGGATACGGTATGTTATATTGTCACATTCCTCCATTTTATGTAGTATATTTTTAACCAGATTTTTTTGTTTGTATATAGAAAGTAGTCAGAGTAGTTTCAAAGGACTAGCATCCAATTTAAAACTTGTTATCTGTGCGGTTTTCGAACGACGATTAATCTGTTAGAGATTATGCGTTGATCTGTGAAATGAGTCAGCTGTTCTTTGTTTACATAGAAACATTTGTCGACCTTAAAATTCACAACATATGTTCTAAATTCTTTTGGACATTGTTTTATATCATTATTATATTGTAAATAGTTTAATGAAAACCTGCAATTCTTATGTCGTCCAATTACTTCTTTCTATTAAATGTGGTTTTGATGCACTTTATCACTTTTTTTGCTAATAAAATACTCCCAACTTTTTTACACACAAAAATGAAAATAAGTCCGTTCACACTAATCACTTTTACTGGACAACGTTTGTAATTTTTATTTACACAATTATAAACTAACTTAACTGTGAAACAACAAAAATAAATTACATCTATTATTTTTTAAATTGATAATATTACGGAGACGATGTTAACGTGACAGCAGCGTTTTGTCACGTAATGTAAACCAAGTTCACTAGTTTAACATTAAGTCCATCTGGACTTAATCTTAAACTAGTGAACTTAAAACTAGTGGATGTCTAAGTAAATTTGGGGGGGGGGATGAGGGGGGGCTCCGGGTCGCCGGGGTGTGTTTTTTTAGTGGCATGCCTGCTCTTTTTTCTCTTTATATTAGTATAGAAAAATTATTAATAATTTTTTTTTTTTTTTTTGTTTTTTATTATTTTTAAATTTTTTTTAAATTTATATTATTGTAAAATATTTTTTTATTTTATTTTTTTTTTTTTTTTTTTTAATGGTAAGAATTTTATTATAATTTTAATAATAAATTTAGATTAATAAGTGATTTGTTTTTTTTTTTTTTTTAAAAATAATAAAAAAATTAATATGAAAAAAATTAGTTTTGGGGGGGGGGGAAAGGAAAAATAAAATGTGTTTTGTGGGGGAAATGTGGGTAAAAAAAAAACCCAGCAGTGGGACGTATATAGGCTGTAACTTTACTTTTTACTTTACATTAATAACTATCGACCCGCTCTGTCTTCGCCTGGGTTGGATCTAATTGACGACTTAAGATAATCATTAAAGACCATTTATTTTATCTTATTAATATTTCTATTTTAATAATATCTCTCAATAGAGGTCTCTAGATCGCTCCTGGTATTACTTTCTACTTGCTTGTGAAGTCTTATTACAATCAGTTCGGTCATTCCGAAGATTAGCTTGAACAGACTAACGAAACTTTTAAAAACAGTTACTCATGGCATGTAAATATTTTATGCAATAATATTAACGAACAAAATCAACAATGATTATGAAGAAAACTTTCAGAACGGGTCGTTGCTCACAAATAAGCAACCGTAGCTTATGGTATTTTATTATAAGGGGGAATCTTAGAAATTTTTTTAGGTGGCACAGTTGTAAAATGGCGGGGTCTACTTTTATTTACTACTTTTGGACTACTGTCGCCCCAACATTAAAAACAGTGTATCTTCAATTGGTTTGATAAACACATTAAGTGGTAAGAGTACTTTAGGGTAGGTTCCCACCATCTTACCATCACCCTCTTACCTATTCGTGACGCCAAATAGCAGTACTTGCACTGCTGTGTTCAGATCTAAAGGGTTTAGAGATCTGTTACAGGCTGCGAGGCATTTCATCTTAGCCCTCAGAGGTGACAACGCATCGGTACGATTCTTTGTTTAAAGTTACCATCAGGTGGACTTTAAGTTAGTTTCTCATTTCAGTTTTATAAGAAAAATGTAGAAAATATGCAAGGCTCACCACTCTCACTCAGTTTTGGGTTTAGTATACAATATCGTTTGGAATTGTTCTCTCGCTGCAGAACCACAAGCTGGTTGAACAATCGAGTGATGAAAAGTGGGTCTTATAGTATATACAACTAAATTTGGGTTGTGTTTCGTGGGATATAAAGAGTAATCATGTCCGAATTGCTGTCTAAAAATGAGATCAGTTCACTTTTCCTTGCGGCATCATCAGGTATAACGTCCTCCAGACTAAATTTCAGTAATGAAGGCCAACCTCAGCGGAGACTAGCCACCTGCACAGGACAGGATTATAGTGCCCGAGTGATTGATGAAAAAACTTTTTTTACCAAAAATTGCGACATGTATATTCGATAAAACGTCTTTCTTTTTGGAAAATGAATTTACTGTTCTGTGTTATTCCTTTCTACCTAGTAATTATCCTTACTCAAACGTTGCTTCAATATAACAAATATGTCAAGCACCCTTTTCACGTGTCGATGTTTATTTTGTCATGAATAGTATTTCGTACCACGCCACGTGATTGCATCTGTTTCTTAGCAATTTGATGTTAGACCAATTTCGTTCAGAGTGATCTTTTTCAAACTTCTGAAAAGCCCAATCTCGCATATTAATGTAATGATCAAATTTTCATACAGACAACAAGATTTTTTAATATAAGAAAGACATACGAGCTTGCTGATCACCTGACTGTAATTGCATACCGCCACCCACGAACGACACCAAGGGAATCGCAGGTGCGTTGCAGTCCTTTGAAAAAGATTAGGTTCTGTTCTTTAAGGTCCCTAATTCGTATCGATTCGGAAAAATTGCCGTTGTGGTAGATTCCACAAATAAGTTGTGCAAGGAAGAATCCGATAAATCGAACAGTGGTGGACCGCCGCTCACCAAGATGGTATGGACGGTATTGCAAATTTTTGTTGCGATGTGTCTAGATACGACATTATAATATGCAAAAGGAAGCGACATCTCTTCGTAGGGCAAGTATTCCAGATAAAGAACTCCACAGTGACAATTATTACTTATTATTATATGTCTTGATTACTGGCGGCAGGCCACAACTCAGTTTTTTTTTAAATACTTTGACTTTATTTACCTCAAAATATTTATTCTTCAGATATTATGCAGGTTTCCTTACGATGTTTTTCTTCGCCACCGAGTACGTGAATAGTTATCAATCAAAATTGTAGCCCATAGACACACATATCTTCGAAGTAAGAAAAAAATATGTATGTGATCCCGTTGTTTATATTATTCTGTGCGGAATTCAAACCCGGAGTCCAAAGTAGTGCCGCGGCCGTATACTTAGCCACCGCTCCACCGAACCCTCTGTGATGTTAAATTAAACTGAGTTTATTTAATTTGGACGCAAATCAGTTACACACTCCGCCAAGATCGTTTTTAATTGTCCTGTTCCTTTTCAGATTTATACAATTACTGAGATTTGTTGCCGCAGATTTCTTCAGTCGTGAATCAAATTTAATGCCGCATTATTCATAATTATATTGTAATCTTAACTTTTGTACCACTGCGAAATTACTTAACGCTCTCTTGATGCTTTTATAAATGTTCATAACGAATACCCTCAGAATAAAATTAATTCGAATCTGAATTTATATAATTAAGCTATATTTTGTGGATGATCGTCGTCGTAAGAAAATCCGTCACCTGATTTCTTACTTTCACTGTCTTAAAAGGTGTTTATCGGAAATGCTTTAAAATTCTATAACTTCCGATAGATGGCGGTGTACTATATAGATTAAGATAGAAATAAAATACCCCGACCGGTGACCTTCAGTATCAGAGGTGCGAAACATCTGCCACAAGTCAATCTGCCGGCCGATTAGTCATACTAGCCGATATAATGCATTCAGGATGCTGATGGGGCTGCCGATACCCCACTGCCGTAGGCTTATTTTACAATACTTTGTGAATGAGGTACACATTTGTTTAATTCGATTATTATAAGCCAGTGTTTGACCACAATCTCACCAGGTGGTAAGTGCTTATGTAGCCCTAGATGGTTAAACGCAGTCTTAGTGTAACAAAAGACTATTCACTCTTGTTTATTTATTTTATTTTATTAAAAACTTATATTTTACACCTTAACCTAAAGGGTATATAGGGCGGACTTAATGCCATGTGGCATTATGTGCCAGTCAGCCCTGGGTGCCAAGGACAATTGTTGGCAGGTGCGAACATTATACATAAATAAAGTGCACATATATTAAAATATACAAAGTACATACATACATACATACATATAATATAATATATATAGCTTTCCTTGAAGACCTGATGTATTTAGATTGCAGAATGCCTCAAGCCATTAAGTCCGCCCTTGTATTCTTATATATTAATAAGGAATGCAATAAAGAATAAATAAATAAATAAAATAAATATTCTTTTAGCGCGAGTCCCCGCCAGCTTCAGTACCATCCCGAGGGCGTCAGTTGACAGGTTCGATTGTACTTGAACCAATGCTGTATGCACAGAAATAGTAATAATAGAAGTAGACAATAGAAGTCGCACAGACGCGTGACCTTGTAGCTTGTATCCGCTATTATGTGTTGACGAACATAATTCACTATTTTTTAATTACAAAATAGTGAATTATGTTCGTCAATTTACTAAATTTTGTTGCGCGGGGAACATCGTAAGTGAATTTATGTTATCATAATTGTGAACTGCAGCGTAATAGTAAAAAATGTAGTAAAAACTAAAAACTCACCAAGGACGTGTATTTCAA